ATCAATTCACTTGCCTTTCAAAGCCTTCATCTGGATCGGTAAGCGGAGCGATGAACATGCGAGCTTTTTCGGGAAGGAGTACCCCATCCTGCGTGGCAAGAATGAAAGGAAGGAAGGTGTAACAGTTTGTCGCTCGTAGTTTCTTACAACATTCTTAGAATACACATGAAGGAAGGAACGCTACGACAACACAGAACATAGAAAAAAGCTGTGAAAATGCTGACAGACCTAAAACGAGAATATGGCATATTACTTTGCTCCTTTGAATGTGAAATGGTCCCATGGTTACACAACAGTGCTTCTCTCGACACATGACCGACAGGAGAAGCAAAGAGTTCCACAAGGTTGGATTGTTCATTTACATTATGTTAACATTAATTTTTTGTCATAATAAATGTCTTGGTCATTAAAGCATTAGTGAGAAAAGTACTGACAGACCTCATGGTGCCGCAAATCGTTTACCTATACCCCTTTCAAGCGCACTGTTTTTTTTTTCTCTCTATCCGATTATGTAGGAGTCGCGAGGTATTGACACCCAACATGATCATGCAGGAAAAACGCGCGATGTTTTGGTACATTCTGTTCATCATTCATTATGATGCTAAGTGGGCTACATAATGAGTCGAATGCCAAAATGTAAGGATGGTCTACTCCCACAATACACCACCATGGTTTGTGACCCAAACCTTCCTTTAAACGTCCAATAAACAAGGTCTGATTTTTTTTTCCTTTTTTAAAAAGTATCTAGCTACCTAATTTGCGCAGAAGGCCACGGTGATCACATTTGGCAAACATCACAGTGCTTCACAGCATGCAGGCACTTCATTTCGAAGGTCAATTCCTATGCCACTTTTCTGTGCCTTACAAGTCCTTTTTACTCATGCAGAGACAGCCTTGTCCACGAGCAACACTATGCAGTACTGACTTTGTAGACTGGTCCTTTGCACCCTGCAATGGGGCCTTGGCCCTGCAGTGATGCCGTTTCGGCCATGCAGTCCACAATTTTGTTTTCCTGTGCAGCCGTCTGCTGTTTTAGCAGAGCCTGAGGCTACTGGGAAAAGCAGTATCACCGGAATGAACGCCCTCAAGATTCAGAGGAGTCTCTCGACTTTACCTACTAGCAGAAAGGTGCACACACTCGCACTTTACCACCATTGGCTGCGCACCTGTGGTGTCTTCTCTGACAAGGTGTTATGCTGCCGAAGTGGACAGATTCACGAGAAAGAGCATACTACTGTGCAATTCAAACTGCCCGCCTTCGAGCGATGTGTTATGTAGCACTCACTGTGCACACAACACTGTAGGAATTTGATTAACCTATGTGATCATTGAGAGGTAATGCAGTTCGGACAACCTTACAGAGGGACACGTGAAAAGGAGATCACTCACCAGAGAGATGCTGCTTACAGTACATCAGTGTGAAAAACTTGCGTAAGAAATCAATCAGGAACAAACAAATTGCCGGCTGGCTACTGTGCCCCCTCCGCTGCTAATCCTTACACTCTTTTTCGAATGGAACTATCATATCCATAGTGGCAATTCACAGTATACAGCATTATCACTTATAAAAGAGATTTGGCATAGAAAGCATATGAGATGCACACCAATGCACAAGCCTACACCTCGAATATCCATAACAGCCTGGCAGCAGGTAAGCATGCAAGCATGTATCTTGAGCTATTGAACATAAGCATTTAGACAGCACCATCTTAGTACAAGCGTGAAATCAGCCACCATTGTGCAAGTGTCAGAAAGGAACAGAACACAGCAGTACCTTGTTGAGCCACTTGTCTCTGGCAAATATTACCGACTGAAGCATCGACTCGTAGAGGAGCATGTAACCCTGTATTAAAAAGAAAATCCTTTCGGTACATTAAATAAGACTTCCTCACAAACTACCTAGCAAAGGTGGGGAAGCTCCTTACGCTAGCTAATAAAAGGACATATATTGGCTCCACAAGTATCTTTACAGAGTGGCTTAAGCACTTCCCCTTTCAGGAAAGGAAAAGGTTAGAACACCTGGTTTCAAGGTACCTATACCAAACACTATGTTGCCTGCATACTTGTGTGACTTCTTTTAGTCACAGGCATTATGTCTCAAACTCGGAGTAAATGCACACAGATATATCTGCAATGCTCAGCTCTACAGAAATGTGTGGACAATGAGACAAATTTTTTCCAGCTGCATTCTGCAAATGAAAATTTATGTGGAAACATTAAGGTGCGGGTTAGCACCCAATAAACTTAAGCGCTTGCATGCAGCGGGAGGAGTGGGAATACAATTACCATCCATTCACTGACAATGACATCAACTTTCTCGGGCAGTGTTGCTTCCTGAAACACAAAAACAAGGCACCAATTAATATGTGTCTGCCAGTAAGCTGAAGTCTGCACTGTTTGGTAGCTAATAATGAGCCACAACTGTATACCCAGGAAGCTAATCTACATAGAACAGCACCCATAAATTTAATGCCACAAAGCTACCCCTCTATAGAAAAATCACTGCTTTGCATACTTCCAGTTTCCATGGCATATCTTCAAATTCAAAACAATTTCATCTTATAGAATATTATTCAGACTGAACAATGCGTGCAATCTAAAAAGCTTAAATCAATTGGGAAACTGGTGCCACACGCACGCAAGTTAGCAGTGGTCAAGCAGAAGTAGTTACACATTGAAGAAGCTACAGTTCTAAGACAGCATATGGACAAATTTACACAAGATTCTTGTGATGTTTTTATGCCCTTTTTTATTGCCCACTCAAATTAAGTGTACAGCACTCATTCTCACTCTGAGAGTGTGGCCGATCCAGATAATAACAAATAATGCTTTGGTCATATTGAACTCCAATTCATTTTTATTTTATTCTAGTTGCTTTTGATTATTTACAAATTGTCCAGGGTTTGTATTGTATATACAAACATGCAGATTTTATTTAACATCTCACAAATGTATACAGAAATTCATATGAAAACAATGTATATGAAAACAATTCATATGAAAACAAAGCAGGGCAAGCTTTTGTTGGTGAGTGCCTTGCCCACTTGTGTCTACTCTCAACAATTTTGCCACATTTCAAGATGAAATGCTGACATACTGAACAGCTTATGCACCCATGGTATCACTAAAAATTATCTTGACTCTATTTTGTACCTCTGGGCAGCTTTGCTCTTCAAGCACAATACACATTTAATGTATGACAGAGTGCTATGATATACTCTCTATGTTATTGTAATATTTACCAGATTAAAAATAGAAATAAGCTGGTACACAAAACTGGAAAAGTTAGGAAAGCAAAGATTCAATTTGCCCTGCAGTGACACAAACAGTTCACTTGTCAAATCAGTACAAAAGTGAATGCTGGACTTGTAATACTGAAGACTTTTGCAATACTGTGGCAAGCATGTGGTCCTCTATTAGCAGTACCTACAAGAAGTTTAGACAATATACCATGCAAATTAGCCCAGCTTGAATAATTAACAAACCAATTTGTGTGAGCAATAAAATATCCTCCATTCATTGTCTTCCCAGGGAAGTAACGAGGGTGAATGAGCACAAAGCCATTAAACAGTGCTTCTTTGGCACTTCATTTGCTTGTGCATAGCTTCAGCAACAAAGTGTTCCATGCGCTCGAACGGAACCAGGAAAGGGATGGAACGGTAGGAAAGAGGCACCAAAGCATCACCAACAATCACAACAAGTGGGCTCTTGTCGTCCCACACTATCCACTGCATTCTATCTGCTAGCACACGACGACGGCGAGGCGTGGGAAAAGGGAACTTTCATTGAAACGGTATCCTCGCTAGGTCAGCCACAGATGCAGGCAAACATGAATGCTTTCGCTGCCTCTTACCTCCACTTTGCTCTGAATAACCACCACCTGGTCTTCAACTTTGTTTGACGACACAACCTTCTCAGCTACCTCGGCCACGCCACTCGCCTCTACGGCATAGACTGCAGGCAAGGGGTATAATTAAAGCACGAGCCAGCGACAGTGAAGCAGACCGACCAATGAAAAGAGAGAGCAAGCTTGCCTTTTCTGGCTCCCGCTTGAGCGCAGAACATACTAAGAATGCCTGCAATGAAATGGAATGGGCAGGTATTAAAGGCAATGCCGAAGTAAGCGCACAGCTTATTGCAGACCTGTGCCGGCTCCCAGGTCCAAGACCGACCGCTGATAAATGCAGCTGTAGTTATTTAGTATCGCTTTCCTATACGTAAACGTTCTCGCAAAATCGCCAATCATCTCTCTGTGAATGTCCAGTCCGGCGTAGCACCTTCGGCGAGGATAAGACAAAAAGCCTTTTGTTAGGTACGACACATTCAAACGCGACACCCGTGCACCACTCACTTGAAGTATTCGTTGTCATGTTTCGTCCTCAACTGGAGCGTTTCTTCACTGAAATTTACGACCAAAAATCACATCAGAGCTTGTGCCAAAGACTCATCGAGTAATACGCGACGATGCTTTCAATGAGGGGCACCTTTGGTCTTCGGCGTCGCTGCGCTTTCGCTTGAGATCTGGCTGCAAGGACCCGTTGCTGACAGCGTCCATTTTCTTTGAAGACCTTGGGGGTGCCTTGCGATTACAACGGCGAGATTCACAGGTTAACACTATCAGGACGCACTTGTACGTTTACATTTACGCTATAAATCCTAACGACGGCAACGACGGGCGCAAAAGCACTCTGGCAAGGTTCCATGCAATAGTTGCGCCGGAATAACGATACCATGCGGATCTTCCCAGGGACGCGCTCTTGTCAAGCAGTGAATTCCCGCCTTGAGTTGGTAAGTTTCGTATGCAAACAACTAATAAAAACAAAAAAAGGCTTAGCATTTTCACGACAACTTACAAAAGTGCTTGCAGAGTATTATTGGTTGCAATAAAGTTTTAAAGTTTAGTTATTTATTTGAGTTGTAGGTCGTTCTAATTGTTTTTTGTTCAGGACAATTAGTCTAGGATTATAGCTTCGAAACAAGCTACGGCCAGATAAATATTCAGCCAAAGCAGCCGACGTTGCGAAGCGCATGCGAATCGTGTTTTACGTTTTCTTTGTGCACAGCCCGTTCGTGCCTACTGCAACGATCACTCGCTTTATGAAGTGTAACCCGGAGTAACAGCATCCTCACCTTCACCAGTGTATTCTAGAGCTTCCGTCTTACTTTGCAACAATGGTAGGTGACATTTGAAACATCTTGTGGGCTCGTGGCCCGGTCTCGTTCAAACGTCGCGTCGTTTAACGCAATATGTGTTGTTCTTTTTTGCACGTTGTTCTAGGCAAGAAACGCAGAAAAGGCTATGTAAGTAGAAGCTCTTACGTATCTTTGTGACCGTCGCTGCCCTTTTATTTCGCGTGCAATTTGAAATGATCGTCTCGTTCCGGCCTTTTCAAGGACTACGCTGGCTCGTTGGCGAGCCGCTCAGATGGCCGAACAAGGCAAGGGTGTCCAGGAAAGGCGGCCCTTCTTGGCGTCCAACTGTCACAACCTGAGGAAATGCGAGAAGTGGAGGTTGCAGGTCATCCGCGAGATCGTCAAAAAAGTCGCCCAGATACAGAACGGCAAGTTGACTATTGACTTGGTGGGCCCGTCAATCTGCGTTTGGTCTCCGATATCTCACTCTCACTTAATCAATCAGTCAATATGTTTTACTAATACTGATCGTAGCCTTACGGCTGCATTGCTTGCTAAGGGTTCTGCAGATGGTGCATGTTGTGCGTCCTCCTAAGAAGCTGCTGCATGTGTGCAAAGACTCGTTTCGCTTGTTTTACAGCTGGCCTGGGAGAATTTCGTATTCGTGATCTGAACGACGAAATAAACAAGCTGCTTCGAGAGAAAGTGCATTGGGAGGACCGGATCAAGGAGCTAGGGGGTCCCGACTATGCAGTGAGTATGTAAGGAGACAAAATAAGTCCAACTCGCCAAAACATGCTCACAACATGTGTTTCTGCCGAGGGCTTAATGGGACTCACACACACCAGAATTCTATTCAGAAGGACTCTCTCTGATTGCATTCGCCGATAAACCGTTCGCCTGAACTCAGTCGGACGCACGAAAATCGTGTATAGTCTCGCTCATCCGTACTCTGCTAGCCTCACTCACAATCACCAAAATTTTCAACTGAACTCACTCAAACTCAGTCTCACAAGTTCGTACGAGTGAGTCGACTCGCAAGCGAGCTTTCCAACCATCTGCTATCATTATTGCACAAAAGCTTTCATAACAGACCAAGCGGTAGCCCGTGAGAAATACAATGAGCATATGATTCCGCTTTGCACAGCACTTTTACACAATGTCGACCCAACCTCAGGGTGCTGTAATACTTTATCCCTATTCTCGTACAGTGTCTTTTGCAGCAGTGTCTGCAGCATGAATGCTGTTGTGATTTGCATAATATTATGTATTGCGACAGTGTGCTGTGTCTTACTTGTGAGAGATGAAGAAGAAGAGTACAAAATAAAATTTTTAAAGAAAATTATCTTGTGTATTTTGCTTTCATGCACATTGCAGAAAGTTGGTCCGAAGTTGTTTGATCAAGACGGTAGAGAGGTGCCAGGAAATCGAGGCTACAAGTGAGTACTCAAAGTGTGTTAGCTCATGAAAATTGCTAGAGACAGTTATGGCACTGAAATCATTCAGTTACTATAGTTATTATAATTAGTACATCTTTTTGTCTGCTTGGTCTTGTGATACGATTTATTACACTTCATCTTTCTAAATTTCGAGCCATTCAAAATTTTCTATACACAGAGAGGCAGTTAGTGAGTGTCTTAGCTCATGGTAATTGCAAATAGTTACATTTATAGTGCAGTGTTTTCTGTTGGTGGATCACTTACGTTGAAGAATATCATTAAGAAGCTATCAATAATCCTTGAATCTTGAGAATTGAGTTGTACCTCTTACATTGCAGAACAAAGTGTTCTCGTGATTGCACCAACATGCAAGTACACTTGAACATATCAGCTATAGTTAAATCGTTCTCTTTGTCTCTGATATCAACACATAATAAATAATAGATCTCGCAACACCAATTGCCAGTTGTAAAACCCTTTCATTAATCTTGGTACCCTCGCAATCGTTTGAGCAACAAAGAATTCTCCTGTAGAACTACATGATTCGGTGAATTTTTCGGCAATGTTAAAGGAGGCAGACAGCATCCTCCTCTTTATTGACTGAAGTTTCAATTGCCTCTTTTAAAATGATCACTGGCATTGCTACAAGCTATTGCACGTCCAAATACCACGATTTTGACTACTGCGGTAACGAGAAACTATTCCACATCATTTATTTGTGAATTCCTTAGCATAATATTATTAATGATTTTCATCTCGATAATAACTATGTATGTCACTGCATTCTCGCTCATGCTTATTGTGGATTCTGTTTATCGCTAGAGCTGCAGTAGGAGCCTATACTCCAGTCATAGATTATTAACCATAACAAACAGTATTTGCACACTGGTGCGACTTCATTGTATCAAGGTTTCAACCTGATTGATGGATTGTAAGCTGCTATAAATTGTTCACATAGAGTGCTTGCAAATATGTAAATCATTAACTTTTTCAGGCACTCAATGTTGTTAAATGTAATCCTGAGTCAACATTTTACATATCCTTTCTTTCTCTTTAAAGCAAGCAGTTACTCTAGTAGGACGCCCTCAAGTGACGTACCTGACCTCACTCTCGTGAGCTGTGGTACATTTGCTGAATGGAAAACTTAGTATATCTACATGAGCTGTAAAAAGTATTGGTGTTAAGCAGAAACTGAAATATTGTGGCTGTACTAAGTACCTCTGTGAATCTTTTTCAATGATTCAGATACTTTGGTGCTGCAAAAGACCTTCCAGGAGTACGGGAGCTCTTTGAACAAGAACGTAAGTAGTACATGAACCAGAGTGTAATATGTAGTGCAAAAAAAGCTTAGTACAGTAGCTGTAGTAGTTGTGCCAGCTGTATGGTTTTATCTGGCCATCTTTGCGTACTAATTTTTACCAAAGTGAGTTATATCATTGCCAATAACATTATCGCCATCGCAGTTGTAGACAATCTGAAGTATCTCCCTTGCGAGTCTTCATGTTCAGACTATTGTAATCAATATTATGTGCCTTGCAGCGCCGCCTCCGCCGAGAAGAACGAGGGCAGAAATCATGCGTGACATAGATGCAGACTACTACGGTTACCGAGATGACGACGATGGTGTCCTGGTACCGTTGGAACAGGAGCAAGAAAAAGTGGCCATAGCTAAGGCTGTCCGCCAGTGGAAAGCAAAAAAGAAAGGAGTGAAGGCCGCAGCAGAAGGGGACCTCGCCGCTGCAAGCAGTGCAAAAGATGAAGAGGACATCTATGCAGTGGAGCCCGAGGTACGTCGTCTTGCTTTGTACGAATTCCATTTTCTTGACTGTGTCTTTTCCGAATCACACAGCACTGATTGGTTCATTTAGATAATGGCCATTACAGCCCACATGGTTCAGCTGATTACATCAGGTCACACTTTACATTGAAAGGAACGCCAGAACGAAAAACGTGATAGAAACCATAGAAACAGTTCTGTTTAGTAAAAGAACTTGTTGTTGGGCTGGTTGGTGCAACATTTCTAAAACTGCGTAAAACACACACAGAGCGCTGTGTGTGTTTGATGCCTGGGTGTGTGCGTGTGTGAGTGATCGTGTCGTGTGTTCGCGCTCGAATCAACTTTCAGTTCTGTTCGGGTAGGTTTGCAAATAGCAGACGATGTTACAAAGCAGCTTAAAAATAACAGAGCTAAGTTGATTGGTAAGTATTCATTCTAAAAGACAGGGCATGCAAATGCGGACACAAGAAGTCAAGACACCACTTTTTTTTTTTTTTCTGCCGTTGTGCACCTTTGCAGTTGTTAGTCAGCGTCTGCGGCATCTTGACTTTCTATGTCCGTGTTTGTATGCCCTGTCTTTATAAAAATACCGTGCTTTCATTCCTCTTTAATGATAACATTTTCAAAATGTGCTGCAAGGCTTGATCCTACCAAGGATGGCTAGTTGCTTAAGAAGTTATTGATGAAGTTATCATGTAAAACATTCCTTTCATTATCTGTAGTGCACTTTACTTAAGAAGGGGATGGCATGCTTCAAGATCACTTTTTGTGCATGTATGTTGTGTTTGTATTATAACTGGTGCACCACTTGACCATAAAACTTGTGTAAGGCAACTCACAACTGAAACTACACATCTTTAGCGTGTCGCTAGGATATTGACGGAGAGCCTGCATTTTCGTTACATTGTGCTTTTATTTTTGGATGTGTGTGCATTTATCTATTCAGAGTGACGAAGAAATAGATGATGAACCCACTGCGGAGAGTGCTGAAGAGCAAGCCAGGTTTATCGCTCATGTACCAGTGCCTTCGCAAAAAGAGGTGAGCTGTCGTTAATTACAAAAGCGGCGCGTGCACCAAAGTATTGAACTTCTGTTCATTTTCTTCTGCTTTTTACTGCTAATCAAGCAAATGTATATGTTTAAAGGAATATCAAGATACATTTAAGGTATTTTCTTGCCGGAGGCCACTCAGTTACAAGGTTTGATATAGTATTGTTCGTGATGCTTTACGCACTAAAATGTTGAAGATTTAAATTATCTCGTGGAGAAACCACACAATCTTTAATTGCTTTAAGCAGCCAGGAGAATGTCAAGTGCACTTGTGAGTCTAGAAACATATCGGAAGCTACCCTCTGAATATACAAGAGTTACGTGCGGTACCAGTACACAGTTGCTGCGGTGTGTGTGAACAACCTGCCTCAGGAAACCCCAGTTCTTGCTTTCTTTCTTGCATTACAATAGCATGGACAAACCAAGACACACTTGTGCCATTAGAGCTGCTGCCATTTTTGTGTCGTCCCACTACATAGCTACTCTGATATATGGCTTGACGTGGGTGTTAAGAGGGTCTGAAGGAACCTGTAGTGAACTTGGATGCAAAAACAACACGGCAAGGTGTACATTCAAGTCCTTCAGTGACAGGGCAAAGGCATTATTGTGCCTTCCGATTCAGTCATGAGCATAGTAGTTGTCACAATATAACAAAATGTTTCAACACAGTTATGTGTCCAAATAAAAGCACTTTTTACGAGAAGAAGTGAATTATAGTCTTTAACAGGGCAAAAATTCTAGATTACTTTTTACCAGTCTGCTGTTCTTTAATCCTTTCCAGACAAGATAGATAGCATAACCATTTTCACACATATATACCGAAAATGACATTGCTGTTAAACTCATCATTGGCTATATTGGGCCAAGTTCTATTTTTTGTTGCCATACCTTCATTGGTTGAAATAGAGGTTTATAAGCACCGTAACACAAGTACATGGGTGCTCTTGCATTTTGCTCCTGTCAAACCTCTGGTAATAAGCTCTGAACTCCTTAGCACTACAGTCACTGAGCTACTATGATAAAAGGGCCCTACAACACTTTTTGAGCATGGTCAGAAAACTGCTGCCGATCGGTAAGTAGAGGCTCCCGACAACACGCAAGCCAAATATTGTAGCACAGCACGCGGCCTGGAATCCGCAATAAATTATCAAAGTCAGCTGAAAATTGCTTTTTTTTCTCGACAAATCACGCAATAAACCCCAAAAATCACTCGTAGTGAGCCCATCTATCAGCCATTGGATGATTTGATCATGGTGCGCTCGGTCATTACAGAGATCACCGCGGGAGGCCTGTCACTCGTCCATAGCGTGCGCGCGATCGCTCTGAGAAAGCCTCGTATTGGAAGAAAAAAAAAAGAAAGAAGTGCTCAAGGTCATGAGGCGCACGTGAAGTTTTTTGTTTGCCCCTCCCTTCCCTCCCTGCTTAGCTTCCAGCGCTTTCGTTGGGACGAGCGAAGAGAGAATGCGATTGCAGCGCGTGACAAATCTTTTCAAACTCCGCTCGTACTGAACAAATTCTTAAAATTTTTGCGGTGTTCAATTTGTGAGGCATACGCTTTTCCAGTGACTTAATTTATGGTTACTCGAAAAAGTGTTTCAGGGCCCATTTAAGTATTGTTTTCCGAGGTGATTTCATATTTGACCTTTTCTCTGAGTATGCAAGTTCTGCCTACATTATCCCCCTTTCGAATCAGTTACAATATCTTCGAAGTTTTTTAAAAATCACACGCAGCTGTTTTCACAAATAATGTTGGTCAGTGTTCAGGGTACGTTAACATCAATTCTTATTTTTCTCTACTCTACATATGTTCACAACTACAAAAATATTCACGGTTTTATGCAGATCGAAGAGGCTCTGGTGCGAAGAAAAAAGATGGAGCTGCTCGAGAAGTACGCCAGTGATGTTCTTCAGCAGGAAGCGGAGGAAGTGAAGGAGATGTTGGGATTGCAGTAGCATACTGCAACAGGAACTGTACAGTTTTTAATTTAGCGTCATAGTAAAAACATGCATTACCATTTACTTGTATGTATTTCATTGAGGGCAGCCTGTTGCCATGTGGACATGTATCGAAAACTTTTCGCGTCGAAGCGCTGGCGTAGTAATCATGGTCAAAATGCTTCCAATATCTATGGCAATGGATTTGCACTACACACACTGTGTTCTACCGTCTATAAATACTATTAAGAGCACACAAAGCTCTGAACATGAATGGTTTATTTTACCAATTCTATAGCCACAAGACTCGATGGTGACTCACTGGGTACTTTTCTGAATTTGGAACAATGCGTTCATGCACACTTAGAAATTAATTCTTACAAAGCTTCCACATGGTCCCTGTGCACTACTATTGGTAGAAGTATGCAATCAATATGCTCTTTCACTTAATGGCTCTCAGACATTTAGAAATAAATTCGTTATATTCAACAATACCCGACAACACTAATTTCAATAACACTATTCAGTGTAAATAAAAATGATAGCACAATTTTTGTGAACATCACTGTTCAAGTACCAATAGTGAAAGGATGAAACCTGCTCAGTAGTTGTGCCCCAAGTTTTAACACCGACAAATCTTCATTTGCCAATTTTTTTTTTTAGTACCACACAAACCTGTCAATAAATCACCTGTCTGAAGCAGGAAACTGAAATTGCCAAATCATCAACTTGGCTGCAAAGACCAAAACCCCAATACTACCTGTTCTCCATGAAATAAAATGGCACTGACCGCGGAGTCCGTTCCGTGCCACACTGTTCCATGAGGGCTTTGTCGTCCATATACTTTCTTAATACATCGGGGATGACCACCGAATGGTCCTTTTGCTGGTAGTTTTCAACAATGGCTATGAGCATTCTCGGAACTGCAAGGGCTGTGCCATTGGTGGTGAACACGTAGGACGGTGGCCCTCCCGGAGCCTGCCGACACGTGATGCCTAGCCTGCGGCTCTGGTAATCGGTGCAGTCCGAAGCGCTGCTGATCTCGCCGTACTTTCGGCAGCCTGGCATCCAAGCTTCCATGTCCAGCTTGCGGTATGCTGGCAGCCCAAGGTCAATTGGTGGCATGTCTAAAAGTTGTACATGTAGTTTGAGGTCTCTGCATATCTCTTCCTGGATCTCGACAAACTCCTTTCGCAAAACGGCACTCTGACCAGGTAACGCAAAGCCAAACATCTCCACCTTGTTGAACTGGTGGACCCGATAGATGCCCTTCTCTTCCTTCAAAGAAAAACAGACAAAAATAAAGAAACGATAATACACCCTCCAAAATGTTTTACACGGAGATAGTAAAAACTTGCTAGGCAGCTGAGAACGTAAAATAAGATGAAGTAAAATAAATTATCATGCGCACCATTTGATAGATCCAAATCACTCCCAAAGATAATGAAAAAAAATGCTCAGGAGAAAGTATGAGAAGTGCAGAGCAGAGACTCATGCTAATTAGCATAGGCACAGAAAAATTGATTCAATGGCCACCCTTTGCACTGTCAACTGAAATTTACCTAGGGGTGACTGACGACTAGATCACAGTGAAATTGGCATTAATACTGGCACAGCTAAGGTAGCTTTCAACATGTAACGTCAACATTAACTTCACCTACAAGGCTTGCAAGCAACTGACGTTTGCCAGGTTGCGTGTCATGAGCTTGACTGTGACGTACTTCTATCGGTGCCTTTGTGTTCTTTGTGGCAAGCTATCAAGTGTGCACACTTAGTCTATCTAGATTTCAAATCCGCTTGTCCAAAAACGAGACTGCAAAACACTCGTTACACGATTTTATAGTGACATATTCACTTGAGCTTTAGGAATGCAAGATTATTTGGCATTTAGTGTTATGTGCCTGTTTCAAAAAAAAAAAATTAAACATCAAGATGCTCAAAGCCGATCAGTTTGAGCGAAAGAAAGGTGTATTATAATAAACACGTATTGTAGATCAGGCCAATCGGCTGTTTCGCGGACACGGATAAACGAACTAACCTTTGTTGACGAAATTTCGGCCCGATAGCAGCGGCTGACTGCCATAAGGCGCTGCGGCAGCTCAGACACATCTAGGCAGCGGTCGCGGTACATGTTGGCCAAACCCATCTCCGCCGTTCCAGAAAGACAAACCTCCGTGCCCCAGTTAGTCCTGAGGCGATACACCTGGTTCCTCAGTCCGGTCGTTGCCATACCACACGCTTCAATGTGATCCGGATGCAGTAAATCCGGCACGTACACCGGGGTGAAACCTTTACTTAAGAGCTTGTCTGTGGTGAAATTGATTAGCGCTTCCTCCATACGCGCCAGGTCACCGCGGAAGAAATACGCACGCTCGCCGAACATGATGTTGTAGTTCGGATCTGCCTGTAGCAGGCCCAACCTTGACATGAGGTATTCGAAGCGCCTGGGAACGAAGTCCATTTGCCTTTTCTCACCGATGACGTCCAGGACGACTGGTTCGTCGCCTTCCCTTTCCAGCACTTCAGGGTGCGTCATGTTGGGCAGCCTTGCGATGGCCCGCGACAGATCGATTCGCATTTGTTCGCTTCTGTGCCTCCCTTTCAGCTGCTCCCAGAGGTCTCGGATTTCGTCCAGGTCCGCCACGCATCCCCTCCTCGTGAGGTTCTTCGTGATGAGGTCGTGGTTCGCGACGTCTGCGTAGAATTCGACGTCCAAGTCGAACAGACGATGCGTACCTTCCCTGAAGTGACGAGCGGGAGCAAAGACACGCTTTCCAAGCCTTGCGAAAGGCAGCAGCGGTCTGAGAACACGCATGGTCCAGTTTAAAGTTCACACAATGCGAAACTTTATAGCGCGCTCAACATAATGTCACTTACCCGCCGTAAATGACAAGTTTCGCGTTAATTGACCGTACGAATCATAAGCATGTGCACTTTCCCGCAGCGACTCCGCTTTCCCATGGACGCAGACATGTTTCTTTCATAGTTCGCAGACTACCGACGCAAACACCGCCAAGTGGCCTCAAACATATCTTACGTACCGGCTCTGGTTTCCGAGTGCGCTGCAGCATTTTAAAACGTTCGCTGAATTATCGCATTGAAAGACATAAAATGTGTCTCACAGTGCACTCACATTGCGCTCACAGTGCAAAACTATGTTTATTTGCATAGCTCACAACTTCACTAACGTTTTTTTTTTTTTTCGTCATAACCACTCAAAATGGGCTGACATGCTATTTCGGGCACTTAGTTTGTCTTCTTTCTGTGTTAAGACAAAGACTGCTAATAGAAAGAATAATAATAATAATAGAATTATGAAGTTTATAACAGTGTGCCAGATAGAATTTGGGCCACGCACGAAGGAAGGAAAAAGGTCCTTCCTTTCCTTCCTCCGTGGGGCCACGTTATACTTAATATTCAATGTTGCCAAATATGACTGTAAAGCTGAATGCAGGAAATGAATATCACAGTCAAATGCAAAAAACGCTATATCATCTACATATACATACATTTGTGCCTTATCGCGCAGTGGAATTGAGAGAAGAGATTCTTGAAATATAGGAGGGTGAAGAGTGCACATGGTTAAGTGACGCAGTAACTGTTTCTCAGGCGAGGACATCACAACCGCGACACAGGCACACAAAATATATCACGATTGTATTTTTGATTGTTTTTTTTTCGAACAATACTACACATGCACGTGTCTGCCTATTAGGTTGTTTTTGCTGAAAAACCTGCGCTGTGTACTTTCCAGTTGAGAACAGTATATAAGCTAATTATGCGTATGCCATTCGTGCAAACATGGAGTCTACATTGGATACGTGGACATACCACACGATTCCTTTCATACTGTGGTCTTAACTTTCCTGCCAATAACGCCGTGTTCACGCTAATAACACGCATGCTATTGCTTGTGAAGCGATGCGCTCTAAAAACAGCAGATCTCCTTAGCGAGTTTTTTTTTTATCATTATTTCTTTGACTAGTGGTTTGTAACTCTAGCCTCCGCCGACTATGCATGGTGAGTGATCCGTTGTCACGCAGCTCACAAGAGAGAGTAAAGTAGTACTGACGCAAAATTGCGAAATGCGAGACAGCGAGTGAGATATATTTATGTGGGCGCGCGACATCTATGAAATATCAAGGGCAAATAAAGCCAGGAACACAACTAAAATCAATTTTAAAGTGCATGCCCCGTGACAGAGCGAAATGCGCGGAATACCTTGTGATGTCAACATCAAACGACGTCTACGTCACGAGTTTGTGTTGGCTGCAGGGTGCTCGCAGCGTGCATACAGGTACATATCTCCTGCTGTTCGATTGCCTTGCCCGCTGGAAGATGTAATGCACCACCCCCGATGATAATGCGGCACCGACTCCACGATGGTGACGACAGTGCACAACACTTGCAACCCCAGCCATCCTCCATGAGCCCAACTGACTAACTTTAAGCGCGTCACCCACTTGCACGCGGTTTCGCGCCTCAGTTTCGTGTGGTCACGTGGCCAACTGTGTTTACCTGAGAGCTGGAGCAGCTCCTGCCTAGCTCGGTGCTCTTTGAAACCGCAACTGTGACTGGGTGGTCTAAAAACGTCTCCAAATAAATAACCAACGCACACGCGAGCAAATCAGCCGGGAGTCATAAACACTGCGGGAAAAAAGAAAGAAATTGAAGGACACTTTCGCAATCCCAAAGTGTGTTCGATGAAAGTCTGGCCATCCGAGTGACTATGCTGGTTTCTTTTTTACTATTTCTCACATGATGGATGAGAGTGTGTAAGGGGGAGAGGCCACAGCTGCAGCAATGCAACTGTTGCTATGCGCCCCCGTGCCGTCACGTGATTGCCGAGCAAGTGTGAGTTGAAGAGGCCACAGCTACCACCGTTCCAGCGCACGATAGGCGGACGCTGAGGTTGCCCCGCCCCGCTACGTTCCACATGGGGACCGGCAGCTGTCTAACCTAACGGCCCTGTCGCAGGCGCACTGGACGGCCAGAATGTGGTCTCGTGATCAAAAGTGGAGAGGGAATAAACGGACAAATACAGCGAAACGATTGCGATGTTTGGAATGGTGGTGATGAATATGCTAAAGATGATGATGATCATCATCATGATCGAAAGACTAAGCTGGCTATACTGCTCTATCCTCACATGAATAAGCATTTTTATATAGAATCCCTGTAGGCGTGAAACTTGTTTTCAGAGTCTTTATTTTTTTTTTTTTTTGCGCAACAGTAATCACTGTCTGAAAGCGCGATACGATGTAAAGAGCTATGAACGGGAGTGGCGTATGAAGTTGGTGATGAGCGCACGGTGGCGTATACACAGGCACGCGCAGAAAAACGGCACGAGAAAACGGTAAAAATTATTAGTGAAAATTTCCATCAGCCTTCTTTCTGTAGGCTGTACGTCACAAATTGTCTTCACGAAAGCTACCCCAACCACTCCGTCGTTAACATTTGAGAAAAAGTTGAGCTGTCTTCCACATACGACCAAATCCGCTGTTCGACTGGAGATGCTCCAAAACTACTCACGTGACTTGCATAAATAACGAAGAAGAAGAGCGAGAAGAGAGGAAACGTGCTGCGTTCGCTCCTTTGTGCGGGTCTTCAGAACTGACGTTGTGCTTTTAGTGAGCTTTGCCGGACGGAACGCACACCAAGAACGTGTTAAGTTGCTGCGCTGTCAGGTCGATCATAGTCGCGTTATGCAGCAGCCGACAAAAGTGGCCGACGGCCTCGGTCAAGAGGAAGAAACGCCCATTATGTCGAAAACACCCACGAATGATTCCGAGTCTGTGGGAGCCAAACTCAAGGCAGGTACCTCACAGGGACTGAGATACCTCGCCGAAGGCCTGACAACCATAGCCGACGCGCTGAACGACGGTGGACCAAGAGTTAGCGCTGCAAGCCGCCCTTCCATGGAAAGCCAGCGCAGTGTCATGTTGCCCAATGTCCCCGACTTTCGTTGTGGTTCTTTCTCCGTAGGAACTGGCGACCAGTACGACCGCTGCCGTCACAAGCGCCATCGGGACCCAAAGGTCGTGATTACGCTCAGTGACTCCGACGAGACGGTCTCTAAAGTGGCCCCCCAGGACGAGGTCGTCTATCTGGAGGGTTTGGTCGTTGGCGAACCGTCTTTGAGTGATGGCGCGGTGGACGATGTTGACACGGCCGCAGATATATCGGATGACTGGTTTGACGAAGGCGAGCGCGGACTGGTCTTCGACTTAGTTCTAGAATCCCCCATGAATGCGGAAGAGGAGTTTCGACTTAAAGAGAAGTCCATGCCAAAGAGTTCACGTGTTCACCAGAAAGTACACCGCAAGAACGCGACCTGCCTGCCAGAGAGTTCACACGCTTATCGGAAAGGTCGCCGCAAGGATGAGACCTGCCAGGCAGACACGGTAGTGGTCCAGAGCACGTTGTCTCATAAGCAACGGAAAGCGAGCCCCACGGAAACGAAAACCAATCGGCCAGAAAAGAAAGGAAGAGGAGATAGAGACGTCAAGGTGCCAGCGCAACCATCATTTCCGCCGAGAGACGTTTTTCAAAAGATCGAAGATTTGCCCGATCAACGAGTGGAGAATGTAGCGGCGCTACAGCCAGTGGACCCAGAAGCCGAGGTCGTGGTGGGATACGAGGCAATGTGGACCGTCACCGCGGTGCTCGTAATCATGGCGCTTGTAGTCATCGTGTCGGTGGCGACCGAATACTACCTCTACAGCGAGGAAGGTACGACTGATGCGATGTCACCCAAGCCGACATCGTCGAGGACGTCAAACATAAATCCAACGGCTCGTTTATTAACGACCGAGAACCGAACCAGGCGCATTTTCGTCTTCCTGTCCGAAGAAGAGACCAAAGCAGGTGACATCGCCATCCTCGACGTGACTGACGAGACGTGAGAATGCTTTTCGAGATGGAGCGTCTGATTACGACGAGGTCCAAACCGGCTCTTTGGCATGGCTTCCAATTAGTACAAGTAGTCTTGGAAATTCAGTGCACGTGACACTTTTATGCAATAGATTTAATCACAAACTTATCATCAACATGTTATTTTTCCTATACTTAAAGGGTAGCCTTCGATAGACGCGTGGTTGTATTAAAAAAAGAGCGACAAAAAAAAAGGTGTTTTATCGGGTCTTCTTTTACAGTAAAGCTCAAGATGAACGGGTGTTCTTGGATGCACACACCTACTGACAATAGGTCTTTAAAACTTGCCCACAGAGGCACGTATACGTAGGCCAAATCTGGGGGTTCTCTTGCACAGGAGTTTCGTTCATTGATGGCATGATGTGTGATTAGTAGTAACGCCCGCCTGTACTTTTACATAGAACATTGATCCAGTTCAGACGAAAATAAATCTCTTACTGTAAATAACACGGCATCTTCCCCAATTATGAAGCCTAAATCGAATGTGAAAAACACTGCTTATTGCCCATTTTAAGGGTGTGCACAGTGCTCAACTTCCCAGTAGCACGTATGCAGAGCATCACAAGAACACACGTTGTCAACATCATAATCATTATCATCATCATCAATGACAAGACGACGTCCGCTACAGGACAAAGGCCTCCCATGTTTTTCCTATCCTGTGCTTGAAGCGGCATCCTCAATTTATGTTAAATCGTTTTTGTAAACCTGCAGTTTCTTGCCCCGTAGGTAAGTACGCTGCGTAGTCATCTGTGTGCACCCGCAGGTCGTAGGTAAAGAATTACGTAATGTCAATTAAGGTGCTATCTACTGTAACTATGCGACCTCACGGTTTTTTGGTGTGTTATGTACCTTCGCAAGCAGCGGCATTTTTTTTTTACTTCAGCTGCGGTAGAATTACCAATGAACCCTCAATGAAAGTCATAGGCTTATGAAGAACAATGTTTAGGCATACTGATTGATATGTGGGGTTTAACGTCCCAAAACCACTATATGATTATGAGAGACGCCGTAGTGGAGGGCTCCGGAAATTT